GCAGAGGATGTGCCACCCCGCGTCAAGTCGCGTGGTGCTACTGGTAAGTGGCGACGTGAGATGTGTGGCAGGGAAGAGTGGGCAACCTAGAAAGGAGGAACCCACCTCACCCCACCCACCCAATTGCATAATGTTATGCATACCGACGTCTATGAAACATCATACCATATGACAACAGAAATGCCCCCCTTGTTTTACAACCCTGTGTAGGCGAGTTCAAAACAAACTGGTCAGAGCTCGGCGGTGTAGACCCATATGCCTGCTGCGTCAGCGGCGGCATCAGGGGTGGTTCATCGGTGCTAAGACTGGCAGTACACGGCCGGTCGCATTCACCAAGCAGTACTGCTGCTGAAAGCCGCTGTGGGTTATGCGTGGTTTGATGCCATACTACAATGGCCTGTCTGTTTTCTGCGCCAACGTTTGGCGTTTGTGCGTGGGCAATCCGGGAATCAACAGCAGGAGGGAGGACCCCTGACATGGGGAGCGCGGGTAGCCAATCCACACGGAAGTGTCGTGGTTTACATGGGCCCAGGCGTGCAACGTTTTGTGTCAGTGTTTGGTTGCATGGGCGGAATACCGGGGGCGACTTCATGGGCCATGCCCCGCCCAACGGAGAGCTCGATGGATTAAGGCATAGATTGCATATGGCGAACATATTCTTCTCGGCAGACATCTGCATTTTCATTTGTTTTCAATGTAGCTCGTGGTACTGAGTTTAGCGGTGTATCAGAGATTTGTCATTGTTTCCACCCGAACCTATTCATGCATACGAGTGTTGTGGGATAAACTGGACGAACTGCCGATGAAGTGTGGTGGGAAAACAGTGGGACCTCGGCGGCTGACTTGACTGGGTAATGCAGTCGTGGCCCTGAGTGCTTGCCTCCGGTAGTAGTAGTAGTGCCAGAGTACGGTAACCAGGTGTGCAAGTTGTTGTGGGATCGAAACTAATACGCACATGAGGCACTTGTAAGCGGTCCTCTTGCAAAGTTTTTCTGTAAATTCCTTAAAGGTCATGTGCTTTTGGATGCCAGCCCCAGCCAATCCTGCCAACTTGACAGCCAATTCGACACCCTGTCAGGCTAATTCGATACCCTGTCAGGCCAATTTGACACCCCGAACAGGTCAATTCGATACCCTGTCAGGCTAATTCAATACCCTGTTAGGCCAATTCGGCACCCGGACAGGCCAATTCGACACCCTGACCCTTGGTGTCCGGGCGGTTGTGGATTCCCTGCGTGCTGGCCAGATTGGTGTCACCCAGGCGGTGGACACTATCGAACGGATTTTGCTGGGTTGCTTCGGTGATGCCTTCAGGCCCGGGCCGGTTTCTAACGGCAAGGCGGCGTGGTGGAATGATGAGTGTGCTGCGGCTAAGCAGGCCATGTTGCAGTATCGGTCTGATGTGATGAAGTGGGGGTGTGCTGCCCCGGCTATGGGGCATACGAGTTTTCAAGAGTTACGTCGTCAGTTTAATCGTGCTAAGCGTAACGCGCGACGGGATCACCGGCTGCGAGCCTTGGAGTCATTCATAGCTACATGCAAACGGGATGCGAAGACCCTATGGCAACGTCTGAACGGTAAGCCAGCGGCCAGATGCAATGTGGAAGACGTGTCGGAGTGGACGGACTACTTCGATCGCCTTTATAATGCCTCAGCCTCCTTCGATGAGGTGCAGGAGGCCCGTGTCTGTGCCATTCTCAACTGTATCAATCTCGGTGCGGGCTCCCAAGTCGGGGCGGCGTGGCGTGATTCCGAACCGGTGCATGCTAGACGGTCTATGGCCGACACTATGAATGGTCCGTTCACTCTTGAAGAGGTTGAGGCGGCTTTGTCGTCCCTGTCTAATGGGCGTTCCCCGGGTCTGGGTATGGTTCCGGCCGAGTGCTACAAGTATGCCAAGCGAATCCCTCGTGAAGGTGACGAGGACAGGGTGTCTGTCAATGTTATTGCCCCTGCGATTCGAGACCTTTTCCAGCACATTTGGGATACAGGGGATGTGCCTGACCAGTTTTGCGTGGCGTCTCTCAGTCCGTTATTTAAGAAAGGCGACCCCAGGGTCAAGGACAACTACAGGGGTCTAGCTGTGGGATGCGCCATTGCCAAATGCTATGCCACGGTTCTCGACAGGCGGCTGGCAGCTTTCGGGGATAAAGATGGTGTCCGGTGCCGTTTTCAGGCTGGGTCCCGTAAAAAGCGCAGTACAGTTCATCAGTTGTTCGTTGTTCGTCATCTTAAAAGTCGTTATGAGCGGCCCGGCAGCAATCAGGCCCTGTATGCGTGTCAGGTGGATTTTGAGAAAGCCTTTGATAGAGTGCCCCGGGCAAGCCTGTGGCAGCG